AAGGAGTATTCCATTATTGTTTCCCCAGAATAAAACTAAAATTGTTTACAAGATCAAGTATTGTTACCAGATTTGATTAGAAAAAAAATATTATTAGTGGTAAAAACAGTTGGTTAATATTTACACTGTGTTAGTTACACAGAGGTACTATAATATTGCCCCAGAACAAAACTTGATGATGTAAAAATAATGGTGTAATACATCATTTACTAAAATGCGCAGTGCTTTTTTTCTGGTTGGCAAAAAAACTACCAAATAATTGTGGTCAGAAAAAAAAATGAGATTGGACTAGACTTCTAAAACCCGGCTGCTATTTTTACCTCACTCAGTAGCTTTGGAAAATATACTCATATAAGATTACGGAAAACCAAACCTGGTTTCTTGCACAGCTTCTAAACTATTTTAGGACTGCCATTTGCTGGGGAAAACACTCCATCTCGTGGAGTTCCTCCAGCTGATGTTTTTCCATTCTGAGCACAATGTTTTAGAGTACTGTTAAACAACACAGATTGAAAGTGAGAATGGTTTTGTAACCTAGCACTTAGGACACTTCTCTTAGTAATGAAACACCTGAGCTTTGGCCTCTGCTCCAGTGCATAAGTAAGTATTCTGTGCAGAGTGGACAAGTCCTGACAGAAGAGACGCAGGAGGTGCCATCACAGGCTGCCCTGCTCAGGCAGCTCCCAGGCAGAGACATGATGCGGGTAGAGATCTCATGAGCAAAGCAAGTAGTTGAGCAGGGATTACTAAGAAAAAAACTAATGGTAACTTATTTATGTATATATTTTTGATTTATCCTGCTTCAATCTATTTACTTTTTTGTTTGCTTTTACAGTACACAAAATTGTTTCATTTTTCTCCACGGTAAGAAAAACGGTGGAGGGAAGACGGTTTTAGTTTTATTCTTTTTCTCTCTATTCTATTCTGTAATGAATTGGCAAGAAATTAAATTCATCTTTCCCAAGTCAATTATGTTTTGCCAATAGTAATTAGTAAAAAAATCTGTCTGCCCTTATTTTCACCAAGGAGCTTTTTTGTCTTACGTTCTACTCATGCCTCCTAAGAAAGAGTAGTGAGAGAATGACTGCATTGGCATCTGATAATTTTCATTATTTTATGATATATTTTTTCTGTTAATACATGTAAAGTATGGATATTTAAGCATTACATTCATGCTGAAAAAAAATCCACTTCACACTGAGTAAAAGAGATAAAACAAGTAATTCTGAATAAGGAAGAAGATATAGTTGATTTCCTTGTGTAGTACAGTTCATTGACAATCATATATCTCAAAAGTTCTGGATAATCCTACCTATAAATACACCAAATCCTACAATGTCACCACCTGCAAAACAGTATTGAACAAAATGTTGAATCTTGTTCAATTTGGATTAAAATGCAAGAATCATTTGTTGATTTTTTTTTCTCAACATGGGAAAATAAATAAACTATATATTCAGTCAAAAGGAAGATATCTTCTGCTTGAGTTGGACTTGATGATCCTTAAGGGTCCCTTCCAACTCAGGATATTCTATGATTCTATGATTCTATGAAGTGTGTAGGTGTTTAGATTTTATATGCAACTACTTTCTTTGGAGTTCATGCTTTAAAGAAAAGCAAAAGTTCATCAATCGGAAGCCCAAAGTCTTTCTCATTGGCAGGGGACAGTTCTGTATATTATTTTATTTGTTGCAGAAAAGTGGTGAGGAAAGAGATGAGGAAGTCATCTTCGGCTGAGAACATCTGTGAATAATTCTTAGCTTACTTATATTGAAACCTTTTCAGTTCACAGAAGCATAATGGAATAATGAAAATCTATTAACCCTAAATAGCTGCAGGCTTCATCAAATATTAAGTCATTTAAAGAGAGTAAATGAACCAGCCACCCTCACAACAGTTGGAAAGTGTGGCCTATCATTACAGTTCTCTTTTACAAACCATATTGGCTTGGTTTTATTCATTACTTTCGAAGTGAGCAACCAACTGATACACAATGCATTTAATTTATTATTATTGTTAATATTGATATTATTACACATTTTCCCAATGAGTTATAGTTTTATACTTAGTGAGCAGATGAAAAATACCTGTGTTCTGTAAATTTATTCTAATTCACATTCTTTTCTTACTTGAGTTTGAACTATTTTCATTAAAATAAGGAACACTGACATTGCAGGTGGACTTAGCATCTCCTTGCAATGTGAAGTCAGTTAAAATTTGTTTGGTTGTACACATACATACCCTGACTCAAATAAGATGCTAGCCAGAATGCTACTCTGAAATAAAAATTAAATGTTTATATATAAATATTAATTTATTGTTCATAATATAAACCAGTTCTAGCTTCACAAGTCAGACTAACAACTGATGTGGTCTGCAATAGAGTATATACAGATTGCAGGGAATACAGTTTTCTTACTATTTTCGTTTCTAACGCAAGCACCTAGGTGTGCTGTCTCCCTCTTTTGTTCTTGTAAGACAAGCCTATTTTCTTTCTTACTCGGGAGATGCCTAAATAAGGTTCTAAAACATTTTTGAAAATATACCTGAGTACCTAAAATCAAAATTTGTTGCAGCATCCTATGGAGTCATTATTAATATATGCAACCAGTATTCATGTAACAGGATAATCGTTCTCTGCTTTTCTGAAATCAGAACACAGTCAAGAGCATAAACCCTGACTTTCCCTTGTCTTCTGACAGCAAAGCTGAAACAGATACTTCATCAGTTTTAGATTACTGTTGAGAAATTAGCCCTTTGCAGAATATATTTGAAAGTTAAAGACTTATGCATTCATTAAATTGGAGCTTTATTTTTAATATAATTCTTTGTATTTGAAAAGATAATTTTTATAACAGAGGAAGAACCAATTACATAATGTAGAACACTCTTCTTAATGACACAACTTTATTAGAATTTAAGTTAATCGCTATAATAGTATGATATGCACTTTATTAATATTGTAGCATACTGCATTAAATTACTACAATGTTATTAGGCAATTTAGTTCATGCTCCCTGTATCAGAAATGCAAATATAGGTCATAAGATTAAAAAGATGTTTGATACTATTTGATACTGATTTTGAACTATATGCATGTACTTTTATTAACAACAACAAAAAAAAAAAAAAAAAAAAAAATCAAAACCAGGAGTGTCTCCATACTCAGCTAAATGGCTGTTATAGTTAAATATATTGTTACATGTGCCAGAGCTTTTGTCATTAGAAAATTAGAAAGCAAATCTATTCCATGCACGATGTTCAGCCATGATTCTTTAATGACGAACTGCATCAAGTGCACATTCACAAGGAACACATTCCCCTTTCTTCCAGGGAAAATCTTAACCTGAAGGCACAAATTGCATGTGGACAGGGCTCAGCCTTTCATCTGTCTCTCTCTCCAGATGTATATTGTCTCCACACAGTGCTGTTGAAGGTCTGCAAAAGATTTTATGTGCCACTTGGTTATGGAGAAAGAAAAGAGTTGTAGAGAAACACTCCCTTGAAAGAATGATGTATCACTCCTCTAAACAGTCAGTGTAATTTTCACCAGAATCTCCAGGCTCATCCTTGGAAGGCTAAGAGGGTTATTTATCAGTGTTCTTCTTGGTTATGCTGGGCTACCAATGTACTTAAGTCTGTTTTATTATGTAATTGCACATCTACACAATAAGTATACCATTATTTAGAAGTAATTTACCAGCAATGTGCATTTTGTAGAGGAAATACCTGTAAAGTCATTGAAATACTAATATGATTTAAGAAATAACTGCCACTATTACTGTTGTCTGCTCAAGATCAACAGTACTGATAGTAAAGAATGTCCAGATTGCTTTCTGTATTGTTTCTTACATTTTTTGTAAGGAATAAAATATGAAGAGTGAATAACAATTCACTAATGGAAGAAAAATAAAATAAAATAAAATAAAATAAAATAAAATAAAATAAAATAAAATAAATAAAATAAAATAAAATAAAATAAAATAAAATAAAATAAAATAAAATAAAATAAAACAAAACTTGCATCAGTGAGGTAATAAAAAAATATTCCCTTTGCTTTTTTTCATTGTTCCTATGTATCTACTAAACGTATATTTAAAATGAATTTTATCTAACGATAACAATCAGAGAAGTTTTATAGTAAGCCTCCACTTGTCAGTCTCCACTTGGTTTTATTTGAATAGAATTCCTAAACAAAAGAAAAAAAGGAAGAATAGGAGATTCTTAGGTTCATATTATTACATCATTACCTACTTCTGTAAATCAGAAGTAACATATCCGTGTCCAATACCTAAGATGACAACCACAAGTATATATTTTCCCCAGAGTTAATCACTCATAAACCTCATTGCCATAAGAAGAGAGTTTACAGTTTATAAAAATAGACCTATAGTAGAAAAAAAGACTTTTGAATGTAAAAAATGTAATTAGCTGTTTGAAAGTAGATATCTGAAACAAATGTTACAGTTTTTAAAAGTAGAATAAATGAAAATGCAATTATAATCTTTCAGTTAAAAGGAAAAAAAGGAAAAACAAAACAAAAAAAAAAACACAACAAAAAACAAACACACAAAGAAGATATACTTCAACAGATAATGGAGAAATGAATTTTTCTTGAGTTCAAAAGCAATGATAACAAAAGGGTGACTTTATATGGAGTGCTTGCAGCTGCCAGAGACCAAGACGGGAGCAGTAAAATTGACAGAGCTCACAGGTACTATTTTATGAAAGGAAACAATTATTTTTTTCTTAAAGATTTCAGTCACTCAGTAAAAACTAGAATTAAATTCAGAGTTCTTAAAAGCATGTTCCAGAAAATGGTGATATTGCGTAGTTATTTCCCATCAAGCTTCAAAATCATATCTATATTCTATTATTTGAAGTAATCATGTGTTTATAAAAAAGATTCAAGTCGTAAATCCCATCACCAATATAGTTAGTGAAGATAAATCTGATGGCTGACTTTGTCTGACCTTCTTGCTACTGTTTTATTTTTGCAGTTATTTACTCCAACCATGTTGAAAAGACCACAACACAACATGCTTCCAAATGATGAGTCATTATTTCTCCTTCTACATTTTCATGGAAGTCAAGAAGTTGGTAAGAAAAGATTTGTTTGACCAAACCCTAGGCAACTAGTCTCCTGATTTAAGTATAAATATTAGTCATAAAGCATAATGTTGTGTTTAGAAGGGACTGTACATTGGAATCAGATGTCTGGAGCTCTGCCACAAACACCTCTTTTACATGAAATTAGTCAAAACTGCTGTTTACAATTTACATTTTTTTTTGAAACAACACAGTGAAATTTTGTTGTTGTTTTTTACAACCTTCAAAAACATTGACCAAGTGTTTTCCAACCTCTTTAATCAAGGAAATATTGTTGATTTATGTCCTTTATGTCACACAGGGGACGTTGCAGTGCTCCAGTCTCGGGATGGTGTCACAATATCCCAAGGGTGATGGTAAGGGAGAACCCTGATCCAGATAGTGACCTGCCAACTCTGAAAGTAAGAAAGCTATTTTTCAGGTTTGTGTATTTAAGGGGTATTTACTAATTTCAAATAACATCTCTCTATTTTGTTTTGGGATCCTTATTCCATGACTCAAAAAATCTTGTCCACTCCTGGGATTCTGGGGGATCTTTGGGTAGGTGTGGTTCTTTTTTTTTTTTTTTTTTTTAAAAAAAAAAAAAAAGTAAATGAGCTCACCTGCCCCTTCCCGACATAGACAAAGCCCACACAGTCCTGAGAAGGGAGACCACATTCAGCAGATAGCATAGATGTTAGTTTCTTCTGCTCTACATAGGCCTCTAACACTATCCTCACAGTCTTTAACCCCTTCAAAAGTCTTTATGTGCCTCAGCAGTGTAACATGTCCCATGAGTTTCACACAAGCCCCAGTGGTCTGTACCACAGCCTTCACATTACTATTTCATTTTTCAAACTGGAAAAAAACAACACACAAAAAATAATTGTCTTAGCTCTCTATGTATTCTTGTAGCAATCTGCTGGTAATACATGCATCCTGCCAAGGTGTAAATTATAAAATGACCCATTGGATCAGTAATAAATTAGGAACACAACTTGACTAGTTGAACACACAAGAAAAATGTTTTGCTAAAATCTATGTTATTTTATTATTTCTAAAGACTTTTGATGAGGGCTTATTTGATGAATTTTACATATTAACTTCCAAATATTTTCTGGAATGATTTATTTAAAACTGTTCTTCATTTGGTGTCTAGGCATTCTGAATATGCACCCTGAACATTGCTTTTTGAAATGTGACTTTTGAGATTGATGAATGAGATGGAACCAAATAAAAGTTTGTTTGTTTGTTTGTTTGTTTGTTTGTTTGTTTGTTTTTATAACCAAGGACTAGAATCAAGGCAAACTTATGACTTGGCATGTGACTTTCCCACATATATACATTCAAAATTTGATATAAAAGCAAAACTGACACAAATTTTTCTCTGCCAACTGAAGGAATGAATTTAGAATTAATTATTAATAATTAATAAATGATAGATTAATAATTACTTAGCAGATATGATCTGTGTGGACCAGGTCTTTTGTGATCCAATGGACATCAGTTCTATCTAATGAACCAAAATAGAATCATCTCCTCTAAAACTGAATCTCCTTTTCTAAGCCAATATCAGCATAACATCTGGCTGTGACAGACAATTTCTCTTAACAAGAACTACCGGAAAGTTTAATCTTTCACCAACTGTGACATGGTACAAATACCATATGTTTTCTGGAAGAAAGTTGGCAAAATGCATACATTGTTTCCTGTAAGGTTATGTTTTCAGTAATTTTTCTAAAAAGTTATGTGGGAACCCTGAAGGTAAAAGGCTTCTGCTTGGTTGTACTTTTTGTTTGCTTTTATTGAACAATATGTAGCATACACTGAATATTTTCCTAGATAAACTAGAATATGGTGATGGACAAGGCATGTTAATTTTATTGAAGAGAGGAACTAGACAGATTCATCTATTTATAGCAGATGTAGTACTAACCTAACTCATTTATCTTGCAGAAAACACTCAGCAAGGGTCTTGTATAAAATTTGTCCCAGTATAGGGTGAGTTGTTTTTAAGAGAACACTGAAATTACAAAATAGACAATGGCTAACTCAGATAGGAAAAACTTTCAGCACTTTAAAGCTTGTTTTTCTTGTCAAATTTTGAGACGTATTTTTCAATTTTCCATAATCAGCACGTTATTAATGAGTTCAAAACATTTTGGTTATTTTCACAGTTTAAAGTAGTTTTCCCTTCACTCAAACATAAAAACTTCAAACAAGAAGACTACATGTTAGAAAATGGAGCTCAGAATTATTTTTGTAGCTTGTTGTTACTCAACAGCCATCAAAGAAAAAAAATAACAACTTTTACTGAAAAAGAAAATTATACAAATGTTGAATATTTCTGACTTTTTGAGGCCTCATGCTGTTTGTATATTGCACTGAAATGTCATTTAAGTTGAATTCAATATTATCTAATTTATTTTCCTGCCCATTGTGAATATTAGGAAGTCAATCCCAACTGTTTGCAATGGAGCAAGGACTTTTTTTTTTTTCCCATCTGTATGTAAGACTGACCAGCCTGATTCTAATTCATATTTATAGTCTATAGTAGACCAATAACTTAGCAAAATTAGCATGTTTAATTGGCATTTTAGCAAAATTGCTAAATTTACCTCATATTCTTTACAGTTTTTGATATAAACCTACTCATTTGGAGATGCATTTCAAATCAGCTTGAGCTGAAACTACCTCAATAACATCTTCAGAACTTCTAATAATTGCATCTATATTAGAAAAAGAATTTATAAAGTATCACTCCAAAGTCCCCATTTTATCAAGCACTTGAAACTCAGACTACAATTGCTGTGTGTTTTGTTTAACCCATAAATCTGGAAAGAGTGCATTTTAATGGGAAAGAAATTCTGAGTGTGAGCAAAAAAATAACAGATACTCACTCAATCCAAATACGTTTTCTCCTTTCCTGGAAAAATCTGTTTTTTTTTTTTCAGGAAAAAAAAAAAAAAAAAAAATCTGATTTGACATCTTTCCCTTTAGTACAAGGGAAGAGCTATAAACAATAGAAGAGTGATGTTGATTATCATAACTATAGTATTTTAAAGGTAGATACTGTTCAAACAAAAACAGATAAATTCAGGGAAGTTATTTTACCAGAGTAAGACTCTCTTAAAATAAATAAATATATTATAATCATAAAAGTAATTGGAATAGCAATAGCAACAGCAATAGTTATGGTAACAACAACAATAACAAAAAGCAAAAAAACTACTCCACAAACCTATACTCCTGTTTTGTAGGACAATGGGATGTACCATCCTGATCTTGTAGTCTGGGGATGTCCTTTAAAATGTTAATTGTAAGGAATTATAAAGATTCATTCTCTTTTCAGTGTTATTTTTAATACTGACAGTGGAAAATGAATGCCTTTTAAAATAAGCATAAGTATTTCTATATGTATTATTTTATTCAATAAAGAGTGTTCTTTTATTTGTTCATTGATTAAATATAATCAACACTATATCAGCATTTGGATTAAAAATATTTTATTAAGTCTACCGTGATATCTAGAGATAATCAAGTTGGGGACCTTGGACTTCATTACAGAAGCTAATCAGAGTAGAATGAATCTAATGTTTCCTGAGACCTTGTACCTTATGAGAGCACAGATTCACAAAAGCTAAAATTCCACGTCCATAGTGTTAAAAATTCCTGCTTTGCTACCACCACCTACTCCAAGACAATGGACTGCAGTTTTCAGAGTTTAATGTTATTTTCTAAGACTAAAAAATCCACTTCTAGACAGATAAGGTGAAAGTAAAGTCCATGATTCCGCAACTCCTGATTAGGCTGGGAAGCTCAGTACCAAGTTAATCTCTGAATCTGTCAAGATCTATAAGCTTGATGTTCCTTTTTCTGTATTGTCAGAGGACCTGATGTGATAGGGATCCTCAGAACCTGCCCACAGTAGTAGTCACTGCACAAAAATATGTTCTCCTTGTTCAAGTCCTCTCCTGGCACATGGCAGGTACCTGCTGAGATTCTCTTAGGCAGACATATCAACTGGGCTCAGCTCATCTGCATCCAGGATGAGATCTCTAATCACTGACTTAAAGAAGAAAAGAATAAGTGCCTGAACCTTTGTCTTCTTCCTCTTCCCCTTCTGCAACCCCTCCCATGGCAACAGTTTTCAGAGAAGGAAAGGAAAGGAAAGGAAAGGAAAGGAAAGGAAAGGAAAGGAAAGGAAAGGAAAGGAAAGGAAAGGAAAGGAAAGGAAAGGAAAGGAAAGGAAAGGAAAGGAAAGGAAAGGAAAGGAAAGGAAAGGAAAGGAAAGGAAAGGAAAGGAAAGGAAAGGAAAGGAAAGGAAAGGAAAGGAAAGGAAAGGAAAGGAAAGGAAAGGAAAGGAAAGGCCTATTACTTGGGAAAATTCAAATCTGCAGATCCTGAATAGAGAGGGGATATTTTCTTCAAGGGGCAAGAGTCAGAAACTGAAATGGGAGGAATGGCAGAAGCAGTAGGAAAACTAAGATGTTCTTTTCCTCAGCTTTTTTTTTTTTCAGTTTGCTTTGTGCAAACTTCTGTGCACAGTATTCTGGATAAAGTGAAATCTTTCTACTTAAGAAAGTAAATCTATTTAAATCTTTCTAAATCTTTTTAGAGATAGAAAATTAAAAGTCTTCTATTAATTTTTAGCCCTTGAAATCAAAATTGTGAGTGGTGCATTCAGTTTACCATCATGTCTTTTGAATGTGTTGTGCTGGGCTGTGTTGTGCTTCCAGTCTTTAGCGGCAAAACCAGCTGCTCTCTGGATACCCAGTACCATGACCTAGTGGAAGGGGATGGGGAGCAGAATGTGGCCCTCACTATCCATGAGGAAATGGTTGGTGACCTGCTATGGTGCTTGGATGTATGCAAGTCGATGGGGCCAGATGGGATCCACCCAAGAATACTGAGAGAAATTGCCGAGGAGCTGGCCAAGCCGCTTACCATCATTTATCAGCAGTCCTGGCTACTGGGGGACATCCCAGTCGACTGGCGGCTAGCAAACGTGACGCCTATCTACAAGAAGGGCTGGAGGGCAGACCCGGGGAACTATAGGCCTGTCAGTTTGACCTCAGTGCCAGGGAAACTCATGGAGCAGATAATCTTGAGTGTCATCATGTGGCGCTTACAGGGCAACCAGGTGATCAGGCCCAGTCAGCATGGGTTTATGAAAGGCAGGTCCTGCTTGACAAACCTGATCTCCTTCTATGACAAAGTGACGTGCTTGGTAGATGAGGGAAAGGCTGTGGATGTGGTCTACCTTGACTTCAGTAAGGCTTTTGACTCCGTTTCCCACAGCATTCTCCTCAAGAAACTGGACTGGTGTATGCTTCGTTGGGTTAAAAACTGACTGGATAGCCGGGCCCAAAGAGCTGTGGTGAATGGAGTCAAATCCAGTTGGAGGCAGGTCACTAGTGGC